GAGAATAGTGCAACAATGAATGAGTGGAAGCCCAAAATCTCTGTAAATGTTTATGAAAATTAATAAAATATAATTATAGGGAAAAAAAAAGAAAACTACACTCTCCAGGCCAACTCCTCCCTTCAATGACTGATGTAAAAAAAACAAAACAGATCACATATGAAAGGATTCCCAACTGATCCGATCCTTAATGACTTTAAAGAATGGTTAGGAGACAGAAGTCAAGTACTTTCAAATGTGAGGGGGGGGAAAGCACAAACAAAAAACATTGCACAGAGCACTTAAAGGGTCCATATTTGTTGTGTTTGAATGTATATTTGAATATGCTAACAATTTTGTTTAAACCTCTAGCTAGAAAGACAGAGACAGACCTGCTAATTCTTTTTGAGGAAGATTACAAAAATTAATGGGGAAGCAAAATGAGCAAAAAGAAAAACAAGTTAGAAGATGCTGAAATGAAATCTCTGGAGGAGCCACCTGCTGAAATCTCTGGGTACCTTCGTTGATCTAACCCAGAGAGATCTGCTCGTTCCTTTCTCAAATCAAGGAGAAATAACGTGGGCAGACTTACCAGAGGAAAAGAGGGAGCAACACATAAAAAGTTAATGATGCAAATCATAGTAACCTGGAGTTAAAGAACAAACAAGGGGCGTGGAAGTACCAGAGGGAGAAATGGGAAAAGCAGCACCGGGAAACATTACAGATGATCAATACCCCAAAACATGGAAAACAAAAGCTGTCAATTTAAAGGAAGTTGCTAGGCTATGTCTGCCAGAGGCAGTTTCTAGACAAGAAAATGAAATTCTGGAGTGATGAAAAGGGTACCGTTGGTCCAATGAATCAAGAGAAGGCAGAGGAACCTGCATCAAAGCAACACAAAATGGTCCAGGCATCTGGCAATTAAGTTCATTTTCATTAAGTTTGAATGTACTTTTGTCTTTGAAGTTTTTAGAAAAAACTTAATTGGGTCCACTCATTATTCACCTATAAGGAAAATTTCTTACTGGAGCTATTCAGTGACGGTTTAAAAATCTATAGCTCTGTTATCAGATGATTAAAGTATCAAAAGGAAAGTTCTTTCACTAAATTACCTTTTTATGAATATACTAGTATGGGTTATGTAGAGTCAGAACCAACCCATAGCTGACTCTCCTGCAGGTTTTCACAGGCTGTTTCTGCATGAGAAGACTGTCAGTCCTTATGCAGAGCAGCTGGTGGCCTTTAACCTCATGCCTTTGGGATTGCAGTGCAGTTTCTTGCCATTAGGCTACCAGAGCTCCCAATATTATAAGCTTTAATAAAATATAAGTTGTAAAAAGGAAAAAAAAATCAAGGAAGTGTTGAGTCTCCTACAAGAGTCGCTGGGTGGCACAGTTAAGTGCCTACTACAAACTAAAATTCACAGAACCCTATGCTGTCAAGCTGCTGCTGACTCAGCACAAATTTAACTGAGAGGGTAGTTCAACGGAGATGAGAAGAACTGACAGTGCCCAGCTACCACTGCCAACCACTGTGAAAGGAACCCCAATGGAAGGTCCTTGGTAGAAAAGTGAGGAGTAAAACTCAAAATCATATAATAGACCAGGTCTACTGGTCTTACAGGCTGGCAGAATCCAAGACAACTGCCTTTATTCACTCCTCAAGCCTGAACTGAAAGAAAACACCCTGGTGTTTCAAGTTCCAAGCAAAACAGGCCTACAACATGACCAATAGTATCAAGGAGGGAAGGACTCCTTAGAACTGTCAACTAAGGTCAAAAGGGCAGCATTTGTTTAGGGATGAAGGTCAGAAGGCAGGAAGGGATGGGAAAGGATGAGTGGAAACAGGAGGCACAGGAAGAGGGGGAAGAGTGGTGCTGACAACATGGGGATAATAATAAGGGTCATCAAACAAGGGGTAGCAATTGTCGCAAAGAAAAGCCAAGGTGCTTTGTAAAGTTTTACTCAAATCACAAAAGTTTTTCAAAAAATGGGGAGTTCCAACCCTCAGCTGGAGGTAGCTCAGAGGAAAGGCCTAGTGATCTGCTTCCACGAGGGCACAGCTGTGAAAACCCCACAGAGCCAGTTTTGCCCGGCGCACGTGGGGTTGCCAGCAGCTGGAATCAGCTAGACAGAAGCCAGTAGGGCTGAGCATTCCTGTCCGACATCTCCGGCTGTGCTTCAGTCTCTAGGATCGGACCCCACCATCCTTGTAACCTGGAGCTGAGCAAAGGAACCAGTGTGCGAGGCTCCTCAGCAGACAGCATTTAGGACTTTAATCTCATTCCAATCTGGACTGCAATGCACTGTCTTAATTCACAGCTTAAGCACACAAGGCTAACGGGAGAAGTTGATTATTTTTCATTTAAAGTATATATTCACATCTTAGAAAACATAATTTTATTGTCAAGTGGTAGCTATCTGTAGTTTAAAAAACAGTTGTTGGAGTGGGGCAGGTAAACTTTCCTAGTTGGCTTTGAGGTTTTAACACAAGTGGTAATAAAAGAAGGCCTTTAAAAATAAAATTTACAATTTAAGAGACAGTGTGTGATGCATTCAGAAAAAAGGGGGTCATTGGAGAAGCCTGAATGGCAGGTAATGAGCTGATTAAGAGTTTTATCCTTCAAGGAGACTGACTGGAACAAACTTTCTGCATTACTAAGAAGAACATTTAAGGTTTGATTCCTCTCTGACATACTCATCCTTTTATTCCAACACTGGAATCAATGCCCCCTGAAATGCTGGCTGTGGTCAGCTTATGGCAGACATAGTCTTGGCTCCAGCCTCTGTCCCCGGCAATGCCATCCTATCAAAAAAATGCCAAGGACTTGTCTTTAGGACTTTTTTTTTTTTTGCAGAAGTCACCCTTCAAGCCTGGAATATCAAGAGGTCTGTTGTAATAGGAACTAAAACCAAAACAAAACAAACAAAAAAAAAACCCAAACCACAAAGCCAACAGTTTTAAAAGACTGAAAAGTTTCTCATAATGTTAAAAACCATTTTAAAATAAAAGTATCACATTTTCAGTAAAACTTAACTCATCCTTCCTTGAAACAGAAGCACTTGTAATTAAAACATGATTTTTAAAAAATCATAAGCACTGGGACAAGGTGGCGAGGAACGGGCTCCTTCCTCCTCTGGAGGCTCCAGAAGCTTTGATGCCAGTGGTGGCAAGGCTTGAAGGCCTGTGAGCTCCACTGTGCCGGGGCAAGTTCCTGACAGGTCCCAGAGGAAAATGCCTTTCAGTCCTGGTCCAGGGAGGAGGGGGAGGAAGGGTATGAGTTGTGAGTTCATTCTTTTCCATTCAAGGCAGGCTCCCGTGGGATCAGTCATCGTAGTAGTAATCTAACTTGGTGTACACGGTCTTGCAGCCTTTATCAGAAAAAACTTTCTCCTCTTTGGGAAAAAATGTCATCTCCTCGGCCACTTTGGTCACAATATCCTCATCAATTTCATAGCCTCGGGACTGCATTTCAACGCGGATGCACATTTTTAGGTGTTTGTATTCCAAGGGGAGGAAGGGAACAAAGTAATCAATGAGATTCCGGTCAATTAAGCTGCTGTGCCAGAAGCCACCTGGGAAGAAGACAAAGATGCGCGTTAGCCATCCAACACGTACCTACTGAGCGGCACCTGGGCACCAGGCCTGGGGCTCCTCGGCACTAAGGATGAAAGCCAGTCAACAGTGAGCTCCCTAACAAGCAATTCCAAGTTGTGAGGTGTCTGTGAAGGCAAAGGGCAAAGTGACCTGTCAGAACGGAACATGGACAGCCACTTACACTGCAACACCACAAAGGCCTCTCAGGATATAAAGATGTGAGGCAGAAAGAGGTTTACAAGGGTTATGGACCAATAAAACCTCAAAAGCCCATGGCTCTGAGACCAGAAGAACTAGATGGTGCCCAGTAACCACTGCTGAACACTAAGCATGGTCACAGCAAAAGGTCCTATATAAGGTGTGTGAAAAACGTGGAACAAAAAACATTAAAATAGAAAGGCCATGTTTGCTGGTTAGACAGACTGGTAGAACCCCAAGACCATGGTGCTAGTGACCCTTCAAACCTGGAACAAAACTTCCGCCCAACCCCGCCATGGCTCAACTCCACTCCAAATAATAGATGGACGTGTAAGAGAAAGTAACACCAGGGAAGCATTCACTCCTTAGAATACTACATAAACCCAAGCTGGCAGCATTTTCCTCAGGATAAAGCACAGGAGGCACGGAAGGTAGGACAGGATTAATGGAAACTGGAGTCACAGGGAGGCAGCGGGGAAGGAGGGTTGGTTACATATTGTATATTAAACTGTTATACAACAAGTGTACGCATGGTTAAAAATAAAAGGTTCACCACCTCAGTGTGAACAGGAGCAGCTAGGAACAAAGAAAGAGACCCAAAGGGAAAGAAGCGAACTGAAAAAGTTTCATGCAGAGAGAACAGAGAGAGGCAGTTTCCGGGTAAGGTCTCACTCAGCCTTCACTGTGAGAAGATCTAAAGTTCTGCTCTCACTGGAGTTTGGGCAGCTTGGTGGAGACCTGATGCCTGAACAAACCATATGAGCACACTGGGGACTGTCATGGACTGAACTGTCAAGAGGTGTGTCAACGTGGCTGGCCAGATTCTCAGGACAGTGGCTGTTATGTAGTGATCCCCCGTGACCTGGTAAGCCAACTGGCTGTAGAAGGATTAACTCTCTTATGGTCCTGATGAGATGTAAGAGAGCTTCCCTGGCATGCAGCCGGTGGTATCTTTTATTTCACAGGAGATAAAAGGAGAGAGATGTTAGCAGAGAGAGAAGGGACTCAGTGCCACCAGAAAGGAAAAGCTAGGAGCCAAGCATGTCCTTTAGACTTGAGTCACTGCACTGAGAACCTCCTGCGTGCACAGGAAGGCAGTCACGTGGGGCGCTCCATGCAGATGCGGAGACAAGGACCCTGCTCCAGAGTCGACAGAGAGAACCTTCCCCTAGAGCCGACACCCTAAATTTGGACTGAGAGTTGGACAGTGATGAAGGATGACAGAAGACTGGATGCCTTTGAGCTGTGGTGTTAAGAGTACTGAATATTCCATGGATTAACAAAAGAATATGTCTTAGAGAAAGTGTAACCTGGGTGCTTCTTAGACACAAGGACAGTGAAGCTTCATCTCACATACTTTGGTTATGTTGTTAGAAGGGATTGGTCCTTGGAAAAAGACATCGTGCTTGGGAAGGTGTAGGGTCAGTGCAAAAGAAGAAAACATCTCAACAAGATGGACTGACACAATGACTGTAACAATGGGCTCAAGTGTATCAATGACAAGGATGGCACAGGCCAGCGAAAGGTTCAGATCAACTGCTCAGAGATAGGGTCACTATAAGTTGTACCCAACTTGAGGGAACTTAACGACGACATAGAAAATTAGGGACATTTCATTTAGCTCACTAACGTAAGCTCCTCAAAGACTGGAATTCATGTCTTTCTTTCCCAACAATACTTAGCCCATAGTTGATATTTAAATCATTTCCGATGGTGCTGGGAATTACAGATAAAGTAGGAAAAGGAGCGGAGTGATTTAGGCAAGAAGGGCAGAAAACTATTTTAGCTGGGTGTTCGGGCACTCCTGATCATGGACTGGCTAAGCACCTGATGATGCAGAGGTCCAGGCAAAGTATTTGAAGGAACAAGTCAGCTTATGCCGGCTTTCAAACCCATCAACGAAAGACTCCCAGATCTGCACCATCAGCCTGATGGAACTCCCTGGTCCATCTAACTGCCTGCTCAGAACCTTCCTGGATGCCTCGAACTTAGCACATCGTCAGTGACCTTGGCCTTCACTGAGAACCTGCTCCTCCTGCAGTCTGTCCCCTTGAATGTTAGTGCAACTCTTTCAACCGCTCATCTCTCTCCAATTCCCGCATACGATCTTTCAGGGACTCTTACTGTTTTTAAATAGCTTTTTGTTCAATGAGTGAATGAGAGGTTCAGATTGGCCAGGGGCGAGCACGGTCAGTAAGCAGCTGAGTCACGTGTTAGGGCCATGCCTGCCTGATATGTATTTTTAATTTCTTTAATTCCTTTGATGGGTCCCCTCGAAGGGTCAAAGGAAAAGGCAATATGCACAGAAGAAGTTAGGAACTCTAGAATCAGAGATACCCAGCTGAGTGGATGCTACATCTGGGCCTCAGTTTTGTCATTTATAAAAGAGGGATGAGAGGATCTTCCAATGAAACATGCAGGTAAATGTGTCACACAGAGCCCAGCACAGAATCAAGACCCAGTCATTACTTGGCTGTTGCTCTCAGGCCTACACAGGGAGCTCTGGTGGCCTGGTCTGTCAGGAGTTGCACTGCTCACCCAAAGTCTATGCTTCGTTGGTCACTCAAATCCACCAGAAGCTCCTAGGGAGGATGATGGGCAACCTCTTGGGACTTACAGCTTCTGAAACCTAATGCAGGGTCAGCTATGAGCAGGTCTGGACTTGATGACAATGATCTTGAGCCTAGAACCTCAGTGTTCTAAGTGCAAACAAAAGGAAAAGACCTGATGGGCCATCTCCTTCCCCAGAAGCAACCACAAGTCTTACCTTATTTAAGTCATTTTTCTCTCCTACAAAAGGAAATGACTGACCAAGTCTGGGGGCCTAGAGGTAAGAAGCTGTGCTGCAATCCCAAAAGCATGTGGTTTGAATCCACCAGCTGCTCTGCAGGAGGATAAGCAATCTTCTTTCCCATGCAATTTACTATCTCTGACAACCTGCTGGAGTGTCAGCTATGGGTCAATTCCAACTCAGTGGCACACAACAACCACAGAGAAGGAAGACAAAAAAAGATTGAACTGTTAAAATATTCAACCATACAAGATCAAAAGGGCAGTATCTGCCTAGGGATAAACTTAGAAGTGGGCTGGGGCAGGATAAAAAGGATGAGAAGAAAGGAGAATCACGGGGATGAAGCAGGAAGGGCGCTGTTAAAACATGGGGATTGTACTGAAGGTCACAAAAATATACATGAATAGTTGAATGGAAAACCAATTTATTTATAAACTTTCACTCAAATCACACTAAAAATTGGTTTAACAGAGGGAAATGGGAGGATGAATGGTCAAGCTCTCGATGATCAAAAACTGTCTCTTTAAAATAATGCATCTAAACCTTAGTGTGTATAAAAGCTATCTGGAGTTTAATACACAACTTCCTTCGGAAATTCAGATTCAGCAGGTGAGAAGGGGCTGAGGGTCTGCATTTCTAACTAGCTGCCAGGTGACTGGGAGTTGAAGGTCCCTGGATCCCACAGGAGATGGGTGCCTCTGTTGACACACTCTCCTTTGGCTACCAGACATCATGCCTCCCAAGAAAGGTATTCCTGTGAAGAAACCAACAGGCCCCTCTACCTCAAAGCCCATCAAATCATCAGGGGCCCTTCTAGCCAAGGTCAAGGCTAAACCAACTGCCTCTCCAACTCCTGAAAAACCCTAGGAGCCCCGCCTCAATCTCTCCAATGTGGTGATGGAGTTTACCATGGACCAAGTGGAGGAGTTCAAGGAGGTCTTTGAGCTGTTGGACCAAGGCAGTGCTGGCAAGATCCTGTACAGTCAGTGGGGGGATGTGATGAGGGCCCTGGGCCAGGAGCCCACCAATGCCAAAGTGCTTCAAGGTCCTGGGGAGCCCCAAGAGTGATGAGTTAAAGTCCCGATGTATAGATTTCGAGACTTTCCTGCTCATGCTCCAAGGAGCGGCCAAGAACCAAGACCAAGGCACCTATGAGGACTACCTAGAGAGGCTTCAGCGCAGTAGTGGGCGCAGAGGTCAGACACATCACCACCACCCTGGGAGAGAAGATGATTGAGGAGGAGGTGGACACTGTCCTGGCATGACATGAGGACAGCAATGGCCGTATCAACAATGAAGATCTCGTAGGGTCCACAGTGGCCCCTTCCGCCACCACACCATTCAACCCTATCCCACCGCCGTGCAGGCGGAAGCACCCTCCAGCCACTTAGAAGGCAATCTATTGTTTCACAATAAAAACAGTTCCTTCCTGGAGGGAGGGACACTAGGGATGGACTTCTGAGTAAAGGATTATGAAGATAGGGTGAGGAACTGATGGACCCACTTACTGTTCTTGTTGTTGAAGACTGACACCGACAAGGCGTGTTCCATGTCCTTGAGCCTGATTTCTTCCCTTTGCTTTCCACTTCTCCAGAAATCTAAAGCCACATCAGTGATTCTTTCTGCTCCAGCATTGCTGCAAAATAATCCTCATGGATAAGGACTGAGCTTTCTCCTGAAACCCGCTGGCTCCCAGTTCTTCAGTCTCGTCCCACACCTGACCTTACCTGAGAAATATGAAGATGGCTTTTTGGTATGAGACCCCATCCACCAGGTCATAATAGTCCAGGAAAGGCTTGATGGCGTCTATGAGGCCAGCATGCATTTTATCCATCTCATCAAATATGAAAATAGAGCTTGCACATGCGCTCACGTTGCCACGAATCCACATCTGTAACTGATCCTACATTTTGAAGGGGAAGTTAATATAAAGTTCTGATCAAGTGGCTATCAATCAATCAAACAATAAGCATGAGCACTGTAAACACTACAACTCCTTTTACCACTAAGAAAAATGACTTCATTTACACAGCACTAACTTTACAACCATGGGTTCTTTCATTCCTCGTTATAGTCCTGTGTGGGGACAGTGTCATATCCATTTTACAGATGTGGCAATTGAGGCAGAGTGCTCATTTTGTAATCACTTTGCCCAAGATTACAAAATTAGTAGGTGGCAGGGCTAAGAGTCAAACTCAGTTTGGCCTGATTCCATAGACCTTGACTGTAACTGCTTCAGTGATGCTCTGTCCATGAGCTGTTGCTTATTGCCATCAAAACTGTAACCTATCTCATGCATATGAGCCTTCTTGGGAGAAGTAGATAGACAAAATAAATTTCAGGATGAAAAAGCCCACCATAAAAGATACGGAAAGACATTATACAGTTGTGGTAGACTTCAACATATCCCCTCACCAAAGGACAGGTCAACTCAAAAGAAACTCAACAAAGACGCAGAAGAATGAAACTATATAATCAGCCAAGTGGACCTCATAGACATATTCAAGGTACTTCACCCAACAAAAACAAAGTTTACTTTCTGCTCAAACACACAAGATACATCATACTCAAGAACTAACCACCTAGTAGGACACAAAGCAAGCCTCAACAAATTCAAAACACTGTGTAATAATATAAAGTATCTTCTCAGGCCACAATGCCAAACATAAAAATTAACAAGAGGATAAAGGGAACACCCATCAGGAAGATAAACAACACAGAGCTTGACCAAGAGGGAGTTATACAAGAAATAAATGAGACCCAAACAGTGACTTACTCACTCATTTATGCGTAAGAGCTGAGAGAGAGATATATTTATTATATGTACACAATCGTGTTTGTTTTTCTCCTTATTAGTGATGTGGGGAAATGAGCTATTTGCTCTCTAAGGAAAGTATGTCTCATTAGTTGGTTTTACTTATCTTGTATGATCCTGATTACAATGCTCCATGTATGTTTCTAAATGGTTATTACACATTCTGCTACTGGGCTATCTTCTGTTTACAGAGGAATCTGGGGTGAGCTGACCTGAGGCCACGAAAGAATACACCTCAGATCCATGGGTTTCCACTGCCAAGGTATTCCCACTCTGCCTGGGACTTAGACACAATAAAACAACAGAGAACCAATACTAAGCACTATAAGGCAGACCTGAAGCATTGTTCACATCTTCTACTGCGATTTCCTAAAATTCTTCAAGGTTGTAACGGTTGTGTTCCTGTTCTGTTGCTATTAGTTAACATCAAGTAAATTCAATCTGATTTTGATTTGTGGCAACCCTGTGTGCAAAGAAGAACTGAGACCTTGTCCAGAGGCAGGCCACCACGCCTGTCCTCAGAGGTGCCTCTGGTGGTTGGAATAGCCAGTGTTTAGGTCAAGAGCCAAGCACTTGATTGTTTGCTTGCATCACCCAAGGAATCTTCCCTATTTTATAAACAGGAAGCTTAGGCACAGAGAAGTTAAGTAACTTTTTCAAAGTCACAAAGCTATTCAATAGGGGAGCCTGAGTGTTAGTTAACAAGGGTGACCAACTCATGCCAATCTTCCTGATACAGAACTTAGTTTTAACACTAAAAATCCAGCACACTGGAAATTCTAGATGATGGTGGTGGGAAGTGGAGCTGAAACCAACTCATAGCTGACCCTCTAGCAAGTTTTCAGAGGCAGTAAATCGTTAAGAGCTGGTGGATTTGAACCACGTGTCTCTGCGATTGTAGTGCAAGCTCCTTACCTCCAGGCCACTAGAGCTCCCTAGAAGGTAGGTGACTCTAATTTTAATAAAAAGTTCACTGCCATCAAGTCAATTCCAAATCACAGTGACCCTTCATCGGGCTTCTGAGCTGTGAATCATAATAGGAGACTGCCTGTCCTCCTGCTGCCAGGGAACAGCCCTGGGGTTAGCCGCACACTTCATCATGGATTACACCACCAGGAGGTCTGTGAAGTGAAGGCAGGCAGAATTGGAAAATGCTCCCAGAGGTGAGATCGAAACACCTCTCACCAGTCTGTTACATGGACATAAAAAGGCAATACTGTCAGGTGTCAGAGTTAATTCTGAGTCACTGCGACCCCATGCGACAGTGCTTTCTTGGCTGTGGTCTTTATGGAGCAAATTTGCAAACCTTTCTCCTGCAGACTCGTGGGTGGATTCTAACCATGGACAGCCAAGCGCTGAACTGTCTTCTTAACCATTTTTTTGGCCACTGAAAACATCACCATCAAGTCCACTCACAGCAGTGCTATAGAACAAAACAGTGAACCCACAGAGTTCCCAAAACTGTAAACATTTACAGAAGCGGACTCCTACAGAGTGGCTGGTGAGTGCAAATGCTATCGAGCACTTTAACCTCTGTGCCACCAGAGTTCCTTAAAAAGGCCATAATCACCATTTACTTGAATGTTAATGTGGTAGGCATTACACTAAATATCTTACATACAGAACAAACTAAATTTTCACAACTACCATTTTACAAAAGCTTCTGGGAGGTCGACGAACTTTCCCATGATTACATGGCTGGCGGTGAGCCAAGTTAGGACTCAAATTGGATTGGTTTTTGTGCACTTGAACCAAAGCCTTGGCTATCAATGCGCAAATTAAATAGCAAAACTAACCTGCAACAGTACATGAACACAGATGAAGGTCTTTTAAGAATCATCTCATTTATAAAATTAATTAGATTTGATCATCTTCACGTTGAAGCTGATTATGCACACCTCTAAAATTCTATGATTCCATTCACTGAACTGGGTTCCACTAGGCCTGTGTTCCAAAATCACTATAAAGGTTTCATGATATAATTGTGCCAAGCACTGCAAACACTAACTTCAGTATGGAACCCCCAAATCCCATCTCCAACAACAACAACAAAAACCCACTCCAAACCCAGCATCATCCAGGAAAAATCCAGAATTCTGTCCTTGCCTTATATAGGGTAATGTTCGAGGCATGGGGAAAGTGCAGCGTGGCCACAAACAGGTGGACATAGTTACTGTTCAGACCACCCTCGTAAATATTCTCGGCAATGATTTTGCTGACAAAGTTTTTGCCCGTGCCAGTCCATCCGTGGAGAGAGAGGGTGAGAGGTTTCTTGGGCTTTGGGTTGCTGACAAAGCCAAACACTGCGTTTAAGATGACTTTCTTTGCAAGATGCTGTCCAAAGAGCTTGTTGTCCAGATCCTTCTGCAGCACTGGGGAAAATAATAGGAGTGAGATGTAGAAGAAGAAATAGGTAAAATTTAGCCAACTTTACAGGTCCACTCAAAAGCCCACAAGGCCCGCTAAACTCTTCAAGCATCTTGTGAAATGCTGAAGTAACGTGACAATAAATTCTTGTCCCAAAGGTAGGCAGCACCACCCAGTGTGGATCAACTTACTGCTGACCCTCCACAGGGTTTCTGAGGCTGGAAATCGGACAAATGGAGACTGTCACTCTTCCTGCTGCGGAGCTGCTGGTGAGTTTGGACTGGCAGAGAGGTTGAGCCTTTGTGTTTGAACACAACTCCCCACAGATTAGGCTCCTCTTCCTTTACTAACCCGGCTCATTCTAACGCATACTTCACTTCCGGTTGGGAGGCTGCTAAGGCTCTTGGTTCTATTGCCTTTGCCACCTGCTTGCAGCCCTGGGTCTTGCTCTGCTCCTCCTACCCCATGACAGGGCAAGAACCACCACTGGTCCGCTCCGAAGAGTCCCCACCACCTTCCTGTCCCCAACTGGGATGGAGGCAAAACTCTCTTTAGAGGAAGTTTGGGACAAGGTCCATGCCACAGTTCTTGCGTGAAGCAACCCAAGCTGCAACTCCAGCTTCAGTGGCCAAAGTCCAGTCTTATCGCAGTGGACAAGTAGCCAGGCCACAGCCTACAAGCTGGACCACTCGGATTCCTAGGTCTGTGCCACAACAGACCTCGAACCCCTGCCGAGACGCACCCCAGCTCTGTCCACGCTTCCAGACCCTCCCTTCTGACACCCTGGCTGCAGCCAGTCCCCAGCGCCCAGCATCTGTCTCGGCCCTACCTTCCCGGTTGAGGCTCCGCTTCTGGCCGCAGCACTCCGCGAAGAGACAGTAGAGGCGCGGGTAGGAGATGTAGCCGGTGAGGACGCCGGCCAGGGCCAGTGTCAGGCTGATGGGCTCCACTGCCTGCACCGTCCACGGCGCCAGGAACAGCAGGCCCAGCGCTGCCCGGCCCAGCTTCATACCCGGACACAAGCCGCCCGGCGAAGCTTTGGTTTGCCGCCGTAAAGCACGACCGCCCCACTGGCGCTTCCGGTTCCTGCCCGCTCAGCCTCCATCTTTAAACCGGGCAAGTCTCCTCATTTTGGCAGCCGCCATCTTTGGGAAGGGCAGAGTACTTTTCTGCTTCCAGGTCTTGGCTGCTAAGCCTCTTGGGACTACTTTTTTGTGTGTGTGTGCGTTTACGGTCAAATCAGATCTGACTGGTACAGAAGGAGATTGTCCCTCCTTCTCCAGCAGAGCTCCTGGTGGATTTGAACTGTACATCTCTGGGATTGCAGTGCAGCATCTTGCCACTAGGCCACCAGAACGCTCCACGAGACTACTTTTTAAAAAAACTATTTCATTTTTTGTTATCTTTATTTTTAGAACAATTTTAGACAAAAATATTGAGACGTTGTCATGTATCTTCTATTCCAAGTTACATTGGTTTTGCTGCATTTGTTACAATTAAGTCAACTCCAAATCAATATTGATACATTGTTATTTGGTGTCAGTCAGTCTGCGACTCCTGGAGACCTAGAAATGGCAAATCTAAACCTTGCCGTTTCCTGCACGATCCTCAAGAACTCCCATATGCTCGAGTTCATTGCTACACTGTGTCAAAACATCTTGTTGAAGGTCTTCCTCTCTTTTTGGCTGACCCTCCACCTTTACCAGCATGTCTTCTTCCAAGGAATGGCCCCTACTGACAGCAAAAGAGATCTGTCCTTTTTCTTTCCCCACCTGCATATTTGTTTAATCAATCATTTACATTAATACGGCCTCATGGGGGTTTTTTCTATTTTGGGTTATAATCCAGTATTATTTTATTTTGTTGCTAAATTGTCTAAGTTTTGACCTCTGCCAGTTCTTAGTTGTCTGTTTACCTTGAATCAGAGATCACTGGGAAAGTCTTGCTGTTAAGATAATCTCCAAATTATTGAGGAGCAATGACATCAGTTTGAGGACTGAGGTGCACATGATGCAGGCCATGGTCTTCTCAATCGCTTGCTGTGCTGCTCAGAGCTGGACAATGAGTAAGGGTGACAGAGGAAGAATTGATACCTTTGAACTGTGGTGTTGGAGGAAAACATCCCATAGACTGCCAAAAGAACAGATATGTTTTGGAGACAGTGAAGCCAGAATATACCTTGGGAGCAAAAATGAGAAAGTTTCATCTCATATATACTTTGGGCATGCTTCCAGGAGAGGTTATTCCTTGAATACATGCTTGGAAAGGTAGAGGGATGGTGAAAGAGAAGAAGACCCTCAACTAGATGGATTGACACAGTGACTGTGGCAACGGGCTTCAGTGTGTCAGAGATGGTGGTGATGGCAAGGTTCAGACAGGGTTCAGCTCTATTGATCATAGAGTCGACAGCTTAACAACTCCCTGTAACAAATCCTCATTAATTTAGTAGGTTTGAAGGGTTTTTTCCTTTGTTGTTGTTTTTAAAATGTATTTATTTTAACAATTTCCTATTTTCTGGCACTCCAAGATTTTCTACTTCTCATCTTGCACGTTTAGTACCACAGTTCTAGAAACGTCTATTTGCACAAGGAAATCTGGTTCCAGTTACAAATCAGGTATTGTAAGGGCTTCAGCGCTAAATGCATGAGTGGCTATCCCAGTGTCATTTATTTTAGGCCCTCCCAGCTGACAGAACAAAGAAATGTCGTGTATTAACCAGTGTACACACAAATATCTATACATCTGTGTGTACCTATCTGTATCTATACTGCACTAAGCCTGAGTTCATACTGATGTTTCCAACACTGTCCCATCATCATGTGACCCCCAGGATCCTCCCCCTCCTTTGCTTATCTGTCATTCTCTGCTCCAACAGTGAGAAACACGGTGCATCATCTGATGGTAGATTTTAATATCAAAAGAATACACTTTCACCAAGTCTGACAAGCCACTTATCCACTCACCCATTCCATAAACATTTGATGTGCCAGCTAATAGACTGTTGTTGGTAGGTGCTATTGCGTTGGTTCCAATGCACAGAGAATTTTCATTCGGTAAGTTCCTAGGGACCAGGGACTGGTCCCACAGGATAATATGTCCGATGTACCTGAGATGAAGTCTCCCCAGCCTAGCTTCTAAGGAACATTCTAGCTGTACTTCACCCAAGACAGATGTGTTCATTACCCTGACAGTCCATGGTATATTTCAGATTCTTTGCCAATGCCATGAATGAAATGTAGTCATTCCTCTTATGGAGCCCCGGTTGCCTAATGGTTAGCACTGTGCTGCAGACCGTTTGGATCCACCAGCTGCTCTGTGGGAGAAGGATGAGCATGTGATCTACTCATGTGATTTACAGCCTCTGAAAGTCCACTAGGTGTCAGCCAAGAGTCAGTTCCAAGTTGATGGCACATAACAACAATAAAATTCTTCTTTGGCATTTCTTACCATTTAGCTTCATATGGACTAAGCAGTTATTAAAACACTGTCTTACAACTTCCCCCCCCCTTTTTGTGTGTGTACTGTCAAATCAGATCTGACTGGTACAGGAGGAGATTGTTTCTCCTTCTCCAGTAGAGCATCTGGTGGATTCGAACTGCTCACCTCTGGGGCTGCAGTGCAGCTTCTTGCCACTTAAAAAAAAAAAAAATTTAAAAACCTGTCTTAAGTCAGGATGTACCCTTAGAGTCACATTTTTGTTTTTTAACACTTTAAAGAGGTCTTTTGCATCAGATTTGTCAATGCAAGAGAGGTTTAATTTTTTTATAGTTTTCTTTCTTTTCATTTGGAAGCCTTTTTTTTGATATTTTAATGAAAGAAGTTTAATTTCTTGACTGCTGCTCCCATGGACATCGGTTATAAAGTCAAGTAAAACAAAGTCTTTTACAACTTCAGTCTTCTTTCAATTAAGCATAATGTGATTAGTCCAGTTGTAAATATTTTTTATTGATGTATAATGAATACTGAAGGCTATAGCCTTCAATTTTAATTAATAAGTACATCAAGTCTTCTTCATTTGTAGCAAGTAAAGTGGTGTCATCTGCATAGTCCAGGCTGTAATGAGTCTTCCTCTAATCTTGATACCCTATTCTTTTGGGTTTTTTTAAAACTAATTTTAATGAAAGTTTACAGAGACTTAGCATTTCCAGTCATTCATTTCTGCACTTTTCTCCCTACCCACCCCCTCCCCCGATACTCCGTTCTTTATTTAAAAAATTTATACTAGTTTACTTACAAAGTTCATATGTATTGTTTTTCACACTTGTTCTTTCCCACTTATGTTAAAATATATTAAAGTAGAAATGTTTTCATACTTCTTTATCAATATAAATGGTATTTTTTCCATTTAAAAATTATTCTGTTGGTTTGCTTACAAAATGTGAATATATTGTTTCACACTTTCATTCACATTGTGTTTCATAAAATCATTCACATTGTTTTATAAAATTAATCATCATTTGACAATGCCCACCATTACCCTGTCTTTCCAGATCCCTACCAGATCTTTCCCATTTCCTTTACTCACTCCTCCCTCCACCCACCAAACTGTGCAATGCTATGATTTCCCCCATCCATCCTCATCCCTCTGCTCCCACTTGACACCCTACTCTTTATATAGTACAGCTTCTTGGATTATTTGCTCAGCATACAGATTGAATATGTATGTTGAAAGACTACAGCTCTGACACACGTTTCCTAATTTTAAACCATGAGGTATGCCCTTGTTCTGTTTGAATAACTGGCCCTTGGTAAGTTCCACAGGAGCACAATTAAATGTTCCACAATTCCCATTTCTGCAACATTACGCATACTTTGTTTTGATCCAGAGTCAAGAATGCCATTAAATACTTTGGGGGGGGGGGAAGCAAGCATCTTCCTGGCATTGTTTTCAGCTAATATCCAGCTAATTGGATCAATGATATCCCTTATTCCATGGTTTCTTCTAAATCCAACTCCAATTTCTTGAAGTTCCTTGTCCATATAATAGTCTGGCCATTTAAAAATTAGCAGCAAGAGTTTACTTATTTGTGTTAGTAAAGATATTATTTTATAATTTCTGTATATTGTTGAATCACTTTTCTTTAGATTGATCACAAATGCAGTAAGTTGGCCAGGTAGTTAGTTATCTTCCAAGATTTTCTTTTTTATCAATGAATAAACTAGTCCAGCATTGTTTTCATGTGTTAAGACATCTCAGTGGGCATTCCATCAATTCCCGGAATTTTGTTTTTCAGCAAAGCCCTTTGTACTTCTTCCTTCAGTACCACTGGTTCTTAATCATGTGAAATTGTTGACCATCTAACTATTCTTTTTTATACAGTCAGTCTGTATATTCCTTCCATCTTCTCTTGCTGCTTCTTGAAATCATTCCACTTTTGCCCATAGAATAGTATTTCAGCTTGAGGCTTGAATTTGTTCTTCAGTTCTTTCAGTTTGAGAAATGCAAATCATGTTCTTCCCTTTTTGTTTTCTAACCCCAGGACTTTTTAGATATAATACTTTGCTTTGTCTTCTCAAGTTGCATTTTGAAATAATCTCTTCAGTATATATATATATATATTCTTGTGTGTACCATCAAATCAGATACAACTGGCACTCTCCTTCTTCAGCCATCTGGTGGATTTGAACTGCACACCTTCGGGATTGCAGTGCAGCTTCTTGCCACTAGGCCACTAAAGCTCCCTTACTTAATTTCTTTACTTTAGTTAATGTACAATGATTTGTTCAATATACATATTGAACAGGTATGGAGAAAGGACAACCTTGTCACACACTTTTCTTGATTTTAAACCATGTTTCCTTGTTCAGTCCAAATAACAGCTTCTTTTTTTTTTTTTTTATGGGAGAAGGAGCCAAAGCAGTGGCTAGTCTTTATTAGAAAGAAGGAAACATTCCAGCACATTTAGACCACGTCAGTGGGAGCATGAGCACAATTAGGGGCCCACTCAGTGAGCTAACTGGTGGGGCACCAGCTTGTAATGGGTCCCACAGT